GCAATCGATCAAGGCATGAGCAATCGATCGCCGAGCAATCGATCAAAGGCATGAGCAATCGATCGCCGAGCAATCGATCAAGGCATGAGCAATCGATCGCCGAGCAATCGATCGAGGCAGGAGCAATCGATCACAGAGCGATGGATTGAGGGAGGAACAATCGATCACAGAGTGATTGATCAGGGCAGGAACAATCGATCACAGAGTGATTGATCAGAGCAGGAACAATCGATTGCAGAGAATGGATCAGGGCAGGAACAATCGATCACAGAGTGATCGATCAGGGCAGGAGCGATCGATCGCAGAGCGATCGATCAGGGCAGGAACAATCGATCACAGAGTGATCGATCAGGGCAGGAACAATCGATCACAAAACGATCGATCAGGGCAGGAACAATCGATCACAGAGCGATCGATCAGGGCAGGAACAATCGATCACAGAGCGATTGATCAGGGCAGGAGCGATCGATCGCAGAGCGATCGATCAGGGCAGGAACAATCGATCGCAGAGCGATCGATCAGGGCAGGAACAATCGATCACAGAGTGATTGATCAGGGCAGGAGCGATCGATCGCAGAGTGATTGATCAGGGCAGGAGCGATCGATCACAGAGTGATTGATCAGGGCAGGAGCGATCGATCACAGAGTGATTGATCAGGGCAGGAGCGATCGATCGCAGAGCAATTGATCGAGGGAGGAACAATCGATCACAGAGTGATTGATCAGGGCAGGAACGATCGATCACAGAGCAATTGATCGAGGGAGGAACAATCGATCACAGAGTGATTGATCAGGGCAGGAGCGATTGATCGCAGAGTGATTGATCAGGGCAGGAACAGTCGATCACAGAGCAATGGATCGAGGGAGGAACAATCGATCACAGAGTGATTGATCAGGGCAGGAACAATCGAGCTTCTTTTTTTTTTAATTTTTTTTTTTTTAATAATATATTCTATGAGGTCCATGTGATATCTGGGTGTGCCCAGGTGTGCCCAGGTGTGTCTGCCTGTGTGCCCTGTCCCCAGCCCTGTCCCCAGCTCTGTCCCCAGCCCTGTCCCCAGCCCTGTCCCCTGTCCCCAGCCCTGTCCCCTGTCCCCAGCTCTGTCCCCAGCTCTGTCCCCAGCCCTGTCCCCAGCTCTGTCCCCAGCCCTGTCCCCTCTGTCCCCAGCAGGAGCAGAGCCCGGGCCCTCACGTGCTGCAGCGCCGGGACACCGGGGGTGACACCGGGGACACTCTGGTGAGTGCCACTGTCCCCTTGTCCCCATGGACACCCCGGGACTGTCCCGAGAGTGTCCCCAAGGCAGGGGGGAATTGAGGTGACACCGGGGGGTGACCAGGAGTGACCCTGAGTGACCCTAAGATGACCCCAGGGTGACCCGGGGGTGATGGGGGGTGACCGGGGGTGGTGACCCAGGGGTGGTGACCCCGTGGTGACCCCGCGGTGACCCCGTGGTGACCCCGCGGTGGCCCCACGGTGACCCCGCGGTGGCCCCACGGTGCCAGGGCTGTCCCGAGGCCGAGTGTTTCCGGCTGAGCTGCCCCTCGGGGGGGCTGGAGCGGCAGCAAAGGGTCAGTCTGCGCTTGACCTTCCGCCTGAGGACCCCCCCTCTGCGCCAGGTGAGACCCCAAAACACGCGGGGGACCCCCAAAACAACCCCGGGACCCCCAAAACCCCTCAGGACACCCTGGAATTCCCCAGGAGTGGCCTCGAGGGTGTCCCCCGTGTGTCCTGGTGGCACTGAGGGGATGTCCCCGTGTGTCCTGGTGGCACTGGCCGGTGTCCCCACGTGTCCCCTGTGTGTCCCCACGTGTCCCAGCGGGATCTGGGCTCCCTGTCCCTGCGCTGTGACGCCGAGTTCCGAGTGCTGCAGCTCCCGTACCGCGTGCGGCCCGAGAGCTACCCCCGCCACCGCCTGCAGGTGACACTGGGGACACTGGGAGGGGACACTGGGGACACTGGGAGGGGACATGGGGGGGACAGAGGACATGGGGACACGGCGTCGTCCGAGAGCTACCCCCGCCACCGCCTGCAGGTGACACTGGGGACACTGGGAGGGGACACTGGGAGGGGACACTGGGGACAGGGACCACGAGGGGACACTGGGGTTATTTGGGGTGACACCGCGGGCGACACCGAGCTCTGGGCTGGCAGGAGGTGACAGCGCTGCTGTGGCCACGCCCGGGGCTGGCAGGGTGTGGGTGGCACCGGGTGACAGCGGTGTCACTGTGAGTGACACAGGGTGACACTGTGGGTGGCACCGGGTGACAGCGGTGTCACTGTGGCTTACATGGGGGTGGCACTGGGTGACTCTGTGCCCCTGTGGGTGACTCTGGTGTCCCTGTGGGTGACTCTGGTGCCCCTGTGGGTGGCACTGTGGGTCACTCAGGGTCACTCAGGGTGACACGGGGTGACACGGGGTGCTGTCCCTGTCCCCAGGTGGTGACAGCGCTGGCCTGGGCGCGGCCCGAGGCGGGCGGGGGGGTCCCGGTGTGGGTGGTGGTCCTGGCCGTGCTGCT